TAGTTTACTATAGTTAACTGTAGTTAACTATAGTAAATCAAAGTGTCAAAGTTATCACTATAGTAAATCAAAGTTTTCAAAGTGATCACTATAGTGTCAAAGTGATCACTATATCACTTTAGCGTCATAGTTATCACTATAGTAAATCAAAGTTTTCAAAGTTATCACTATATTAAATCAAAGTTTTCATGGTTATCACTTTAGTAAATCAAAGTGTCAAAGTTATCACTATAGTAAATCAAAGTGTCAAAGTTATCACTATAGTAAATCAAAGTTTTCATATCGTCAAATTTATCACTTTAGTTAACTATAGTATTTTTTTGTTAGGGGTGTTTCACAAACACTTCTTTTTTACCTACAACAGAAAAAAGAGGTTCGGGTAGTCCTGCTATAAGGCAATTTTTACCCTTAGAGAAAAAACATTAAATAAAATAAAGGAAATTGATTAAACTAATGTACTCATTATACTTACATGTATTATTAACTTGAAAATGTTGTTTTTCAAATTTCATTAATTAACAATAGTTAATGGTTTAAATAAATCATGTATAATATTTTAGCTAGGTAAATCTTTTGAGTTATTAAAGGTTTGTTTGATGCCAGGGCATTAACGACATAAAGAAATAAAAATGAAGATAAACAATAGAACTGAAGTCAAATAAACATTCCATGTTAATTTCCATAGTCCCAGCCTCCTGACGTCAGACAGAGTGACAACCTGAAAAATTGACCTGTATATTACGCATTTGGCCTTTCTCTTGGCAAAATTTACATTAAATTGTAATTATCGAGTTTTAAAAAAGATATCCAAGAGAAAACAATTAGAAATGCAAATATTTGTTGACCACCTCGCTCCTTCAACCAAATTTACATTTTAACAGATGCAGAAGACGAAAGAAGAAGAAAAGATTTGCTCGTCTAATAAGTCAAGAATCAAGCACTGATTTTCAAAATAGATCGTCGAAGAAGACAAAATTTCCATTATTCTGGAAACAATATGGAGGATTCACTTACTCCGCTAGACCAAGATGGCATGCTTACTGGTATAACTGGCTCTGTTTTATTCATTAAGGCCCCACACATTAAAAATTATAACATTCGATTTACATCAAAAACGAGCAATATACTATGGTGGAATATTTCTGCCCCCACTTATCAGATAATTATGTCGACTTGTCAGATCTTTTGTTTTCTTTTCAGATAATTATGTAGACTAGACTTGTCAGTTCTTTTTTTAGTTTTGCTTCAAACAAATGGTCAGCGTTAAATAAAACCATAAGTTAAGCATACAGCTTTTCCAAATTTAATTCAGTACAATATATCATATATTCATTAAAGTTGTGAGGTATATTTGGGTATGTTGCTGATTTTTCCTCATACAGGAAAAAGTAAAATATGAGCTGAATCTCTATTGCAATTTTGCTGCGTGTTTCGTGATCATAACGAAATAAAACTGTTTCAAGTAATATACCAGAAAATATAATTAATTGTTTTTTTACATAGTTATGAAGAAGAGGGACAGTCCGAAAACGTCAAATCAAAATCAACAAAAGAGCAAACAACAAACTATGGAAGATATCAGAAAGAAATTGGTTCAAATCCAGTGATAATCCAACCTGAACGTTTATTAGATCAAGCTTCGAGAGTACGACAAGACCATCAGGTTATCGATAGCATAAACCAAGCTCAGTTTCGAGAAAAATCATCCGATAATGGGGTAATGGGAATAAAAAGCTATCATGAAACAAAAACTGAGAACAAAGGTCCAAGCCGACAATCTAATTTGACAGTCTGTGAAAAGGAACAGTCTGTTGTTCGTAAAGTGTTACAAACAAACACAATTTGGTCTCCGGCCGGAAGTTTGGAAAATGATGCTGCTGTTTACAGGAGCTCTGAAGAGAATGCTGAACCAAATAATCTAAGATTAATCGCTAAACGGTCCTCTGAAAATGGCGTAGAGATAAGTAAACCAAGTGTGGTGCCTACAACTAAACTTATAGAAACTGGAAAATCCGAACAGAGCGCGTCTACCGCGGAAACCATTAATGATTCAATGATCGTGTTTAGGTCAAATGAAAATAGAAAAGTATGTCCATACTGTATGAACCATACTAAAGTAGAACATAACATGATTAATTATACGTCCAAAAAGATTGAGACATCAGTTGACAGCAGTTGTCAAACAGATTTTCTATCTTCTGCACCAGCATTGCAAGGTAATGCTATATACAATAAAGATGATCGCTTAGATAAACAATCATTGAACCAAGGAGGATACGAAAGGATTGAGAGACACCATCATGTCATGAGTAGTGTACATCCTTCTGTCGCAACTTTTCGGTCGTCCAGTAGAGTACAACATGTTACTGACATCAGTCGAGATGGAAACAAACAAAACAGTTCTGGTATTCTTTTACATGGAGAAACCGTAGAAAATGATGCCCTACGTAGTATTAGCATTGATGGTGCAAGGCGAAAGATAGAAGGATGGCAAACTGGAATGGAGTATTCGGCAGAAGAAAATATGATGGCAACCATTCAAAAAGGCGATGAAGTTCAAGAAAAGTCTGTCTTATTTCAATTCGACAGTGATGACGAAGGAAGCATGTCCTCTGGACTTCCAGAGCATACATTACACGAAATGGAGGAAGTAGTGAGCAAGACTGAAACAAAAACAAAGGAGAAAGAAGATGAATTATATGTGATAAGAACAGAATGGCTCCCTTATGAAAATGACCAGAAAGAAGCAAATTTGACAAAACAAGAAATTTCAATTAGTAGAGGAGATGGAATGCGATATTTTCATGATCGTAAAATCAGACAAGTACTGATGAACCACGATCCACCAGAATCGAAAGAAGTTTCACCTGGAGCAAAACCAAACATTGCACATTACATAAAAAATGACGAAGTAGAGAAGTGGAAGGGTGAGCTAAAATCAAATACCAAAGAAGCTGAGGCCTATGAAATCAGAAAAGTATGGATCCCAAAAGAAAACTATCAGGAGAGAAAAACTGTGACCAAAGAAGACATATCTAGCGGAGTAGTCCATAGGTCTTGGTATCCCCCTGGGGATGAAATGAAAAAAGAACTCATAAAACTTCAGTCGTCAGATTCGTCTTATGTCCCACAAAGAACAAATACAAAGGTGGAAGGTTATATTGAAATGAACGAGAAAGGGTTTCGTAAAAGCAGGAGCATTGAAGATTCAAAAATACAATCAGAATCGCTACAAGATGCGAGATATCGTGAAAGAAAAAATCTTACTGAACAGCAATCTTCAAGGGGAACACATGAAAATCATAGCATCCATAATGAAAGAGAATTAAGTCCAACTCTCAATGATTCTCGGTTATTAGAGGAAGTAATTGAAGGTTCTATTGACCTGAAAGATGGAGGATTAAAATCACGCGTGAATGGACATCAGAGATCTGTTCGCACACAAAAAATTCTTGCTTACCGCAATGAAAATGAACCCAAAACAGTCGTCAAAAGTCAACAGCAATCGGGAGAAAGAGAAGAGGGTTATATTCATGTTAAGCAGGAAGAATCTGATCAATTGAAAGTTGGTTGTAGAAATGAAGAAAATTCGGTCTTTGTTTCAGTGGGGGAAAAGGAAATGGAAAACACTTTTGATGTTGAGCGCACAACGTTTTACAAACCTGGAGGGGCCGTGTATAGGTAATTGATGTAATCTGATGTTAGTATATGCTACATAATAAACGAAAATGTATGAAAGGAGTAGTTGTTTAATTTGTAACAAAATTACTTGTATATTACAGTATTCACTCTATCTTTAGATACACAGATGATGGGACAAAAGAGTTTTTGACAAAGCAAGATTTAACAATGCCAATCGCCTTTCCACCAAAGACAGTTGATGTAAATCGTCAGCAATCAGGAGTAGGAGAAAAAAGTTTAGTTTATCTCAGACAGCGTGGATCAGAGATACTAGGAGTCCCCTATGAAACTGATGGAAAGTCGGATTTTCTTCCAGCAGATGGCAATAAGATTAACAATTCGGGGGTTGCGGGCATGACATTTTACAAATCTGGAGGAACTACATACAGGTAACCCTAACCAAAACAGTTTTCTTCATATTTTTATCGACTAGGATATTTTGTGCAATTCGAAACCGGAAGTAGTTAAATATGTAGTTTGCGAAGCGTTATTGCCTTTCATCACGAATGTATTACACATTTTTATTTCTCGTAACTAGATACAAAGAAGATGGAAGGAAAGAATATGTAACAATGTCAGATTCAGCATTTCCAGTTTCTTATCATCAGAAGACCGAAATATTTGAATCGGATCAAAATAAAGAGAAAATACCTTTCTACCAAGACAGGTCCTCTGAAGATTTAACATCCGGGCGCATTTACAGGTATTTTTGGCAAAAGCTCGAGTAAACGTTTTATTCATCTGCAAAGCAAGGCAAATATGTCTATCATCTTTCGGTTATTCTGATCATTCTGTCTGTGCGAAAAAAGTGACACGTTCACAGGAAAAGGACATTCTTTCTTCATGTAACTTTGTAAGAAACGACAGAAATATACATTCGGGTAAGTTGAAACACCAGATAGAATTTTCAGATCTGTTCAAGATCAAATTTTCTATTTTTTTTTTTACACATTGCAATGACACATACATGTACATATCTATGGCAGTTGCGTTTAAGGTATGTTTTTGTAACGGACCTTTTCCAACAGTACTGGAGTCATGTAAATTTTCTAACATATAGAATTAACTACTAGCATAAACATTGCAATCATTTATATTTTTTTTACAGAAAACAAACTGAATGGAGGACAGAAAGAACCATTCAAGACAACACAAAACCTCGGGTGTATGCAATATAATTTATAATAATATATGAACGGAGTAGTTGTTTAGTTTATTGATATACAGTAACAAAATTACTTGTATATAATAGTATTCACTCCATTTGTAGATACACAGATGATGGGACAAAAGAATATTTGACAAAGCAAGGTTCAACAATGCCAATCACTCTGCCCCCAAAGACAGTTGATGTAAATCGTCAGCAATCAGGAGTAGGAGAAAAAAGTTTAGTTTATCTCAGACAGAGTGGATCAGAGATACTAGGAGTCCCCTATGAAACTGATGGAAAGTCGGTTTTTCATGCAGAGGATGGCAATAAGATTAACAATTCGGGGGTTGAGGGCACGACATTTTACAAATCTGGAAGAACTGCATACAGGTAACCCTAACCAAAACAGTTTTCTTCATATTTTATCGACTAGGATATTTTGTGCAATTCGAAACCGGAAGTAGTTAAATATGTAGTTTGCGAAGCGTTATTGCCTCTCATCACGAATGTATTACATAGAGAATAATACATGGCAAAATCTGTATCACACCCCATATCAACCCGAGACTCCAAATTATCAGCCCGAGGGCCGAAGGCCAGAGGGCTGATATTGGTCGAGGGTTGATATGGGGTGTGATACAGATTTTTTCATGTATTGTTGTTTTTATTATGTATTTGAAAATAGTGTCCTAAAAATCATATATAAACGTGTAAATTAATTACTGAATTTTTAATAATTGAATGTGTTCTGTTTTTGTTGAATTTCCGTTTCTCAATCTTTTTTAACTTTAGGCAAATAAATGCATTCAGCGATACGAAATGAAATTATTATAATTCAAACAATAATTATTTTGAATAACATAATATGTCCCATGAAATAAAATTACAATTTGAATAAACTTTGGAAAGAAATAGGAAAAGATCCGAGGTACTCCGAATGAAAAATACAGAGATGTTACGGAAAGGTGTAATAAAGGGTGTGATAAAGGGTGAAATAAAGGGTGCTGATACAGGGTGTGTAATACAGGGCGCGTGCCTGTGTTCATATCAGGGATGCAAAAAACCTGTATTATATGACAAATATATAATAAACATTTTTATTTCTCGTAACTAGATACAAAGATGATGGAAGGAAAGAATATGTGACAATGTCAGATTCAGCATTTCCAGTTTCTTATCATCAGAAGACCGAAATATTTGAATCGGATCAAAATAAAGAGAAAATACCTTTCTACCAAGACAGGTCCCCTGAAGATTTAACATCCGGGCGCATTTACAGGTATTTTTTTGCAAAAGCCCTTGAGTGATCTTTTTCTCAGCCTGCAAAGCATAGCGTATATATCTATCATCTGTTGGTTGTTCTGATCATTCTCTCTGTGCGAAAAAAGTGACACGTTCACAAGAAAACATTCTCCCTTCATATAACTTTGTAAGAAATGACAGAAATATACATTCGAGTAAGTTGAAACACCAAAAAAAATTTCAGATCTGTTCAAGATCAAATTTTCTCAATTTTTACATATTGCAACGACATATTCATACCAATTGCAATGCATTTAAAGTATGTTTTCGTAAAGGACCTTTTCAGGCGGACCGGAGTCATGTATAATTCATAAGAGATAGAAATAAACTGTAAACATAGCCTTGGAAATCATTTATAATCTTTTTTACAGAAAACAAACCGAGTGGAGGACAGAGAGAGCTACCCAAGACGACACACAACCTCGGGTGTACAAAAAATGGAAAGTGATTGAGAAAACTGAAGCATAATCCCATAGCCCTGTTACAATAACCAGTCCTACAAAGATCAAATAATGAAACATAATCCCATAGTCCTGTTATTATAATAACCAGTCCTACAAAGATCAAATAATGAAGCATAATCCCATAGTCATGTTATTATAATAACCAGTCCTACAAAGATCAAATAATTACTATAGCCCAAAAATGGAGAAGTTGATATCGTGTGAAATATGATCCAAACTGTTTAAATTCAAATGTGTTTGAACCAATAATTGTAATTTGTTCCACTATCTCTTACTCTGTCTGTTAATGAAATGAACATACACATCTATCCATCTTTGTGAAATACAGTGTAATAGTTTACCCAGTATTGTGAACTATTGGGATTGATATCAGAACATTTTTTTAAAGTATACAGTATATACAGTATATACAGTATACAGTCACACTTTTAAATTCAGAAAGTAGAGCATTCCATGTTACATATTGTTTATGGTAAAACCGGGCGGTTTCCATTATACATAAATACATGTATCAACACTAGAAAGTGTAGAATCATATCACATTGGGGTTTCTTATCGTATTGACAAACTTAATACAATGTATTGTAAAATTAACAACTGCCAAACAAAAATTATTATTATCATTCACTATTCGCTTTATACATGCGTATTATCAAAATTTTCTAAAATTATATACAAAAAAAAATCAGAATGGTGTGGTATGACGCTTCTATACATGAAAAACAGCGCATATATCATAGTCTGTTCGTCCATCTGTAAACTTTCCACATTTTCAACTTCCTCTCAAGAACCACCGGACTAATTTTAACCAAAACTGACACAAAACATTCTTGGGTAAAGGGGAAGTGAAATTGTTAAAATGAAGCGTCAAGCCCCCTTACAAGGGAAGATAATCAAGAAAAGGCAAAAATAAGGTGGGGTCATTAAAAAATCTTCTTATCAAGAACCACTTATGTGAAAGCATCCTGGGGTAGCGTAAATTCTAAATAGTTAAAGTCATGATCCCCGGGGGTAGGGCGGGGCCACAATTCAAAAATTACAATATGACAAATGTATACCAATCCCTTTTTTATAACCTGTACTTAATCATAATTCTTTCAGTGTGCAGTGTATAGTGGGTTTCTAAATACTGAAACTGGTTGATTTAATCGTTCTATTCCGTAGCGATTTTTCATTTATCAGTATATACTAATCATTATTATGATACTAAACTTACTCAGTATGCATACGTACATGAGTATTCGTAAAATTTTATCATATACATGTTACACACACTGTTTTAATTATTGTATTGTATTAATGAAGTAGTATATTAATAAATTCTTCAATGCTTTGAAATACTACACACTTTTATTGAACTGTTGATATCAAAAATAACATTTGCTGAATAGTTGCTCGCAATATGATCATGATATTGTTTCTTGCTTTCAATGTTTTATATCTTATAGGACATGATATTTCTCAGTAAAGTATATATAATAAAATAAAAACGACTTGACTTTTTTGTACATATGCAGCAGCTTATTGTTGGATAGTCTATATATGGTATATATGTGTCTTAAAGTGTAGATAATGACTAGAGTTATATTATTCAGTTCATGTTCCCCGGGGGTAGGGTAAGGCCACAAAAGGGTGTCAAAGTTATTGGGAAAAATTTAAATATCTTATCAAGAACCTGCTGGATCAGAAAGACTGAAACTTATGTAAAAGCTTCCTGAGGTAGTATAGATTGTAAATTGTTTGATCATGGTCTCTTGGTCCCTGGGGGCAGGCCGGGGCCACATAAGAGATTACATCGGGGAAAATCTTTAAAACTTCTCTATTCAAGAACAGCAAAGTAGTGATAACTCATACTAATGTGGAAGCGTCCTCTGGTGGTGTAGATTCCTTTTTATTCAAACTACGGTCCGAGAACACATGTATGTAGGGAAAAACAATCTAATGCAGAACAGCAGGGCCAAAGTGACTGGTGAGCGCTTTGGCGCATGGGCCTCTTACGATATCAAAAAATCACTTGCTGAATTGGTGCAGGCAATAATAACTTATTGATTTCTTGCTCTCTTCAATTGAGTTACTAATATTTATACATTTAAGATGCGCAAAAATTATTTTATCTCTTCAATTGAATCACTATTATCTATGCATTTAATATGCGCAAAAATTATTTTATAGCGAGCACCTATCAGTTATTGATGATATCTTCAATTCAGCATAATCATGATCTAAATAATAATCTGATGTTTTGTTTAAAAGAATTGGTGTGCGCATTAATTCTACTGGCGAAATCTTTGTATAACATTTCAAATGAATTTATGAGATCAAAGTATCATTATACCGTCAAAATAGTCTAAATTAATTTTTACAAGGAATAATTCACTTACATTATTGATTTCATTTATTGAATTGATACACACATTAACTGAATTGATGAAAGCAATAATTGAATCGATGAGCACACCAAATTAATTTCCGCTTTCATTAATAGAAACGATGCGCCCTTTAAATCAAATATTACTCTCATTCATCGATTGATGCGTGCACCGATTTATTTGAAACATGCATCAACTCATTAGAATAAACTGATTTGTTTAATCATCAATGTTATTTTATAGTTATGTTTTAAAAAATCAATTTTACATGTATTATCTATCTCCTTAAAGTTCATAATATATTTTAAAAAGTGGTTGAGCATTGTATGGTAATCGGTTCACTTCCCCTTTAATTAAGCAAAACGCAAAAAAAAAAAACCAGTTATTTTTCAGATTGTGGCCTTGCGTATGTGTATGCTCTATGTAGACCATTTATTTCTCAACAAACAGTCGTTGACTTCTAAAGCTTCATACCAGGGGGTCCGGACCCACCTACCCCCTCTAGATCCGCGCATGACACAGCATAAATCTCATACCATGAAGGGTTTATATAATGTATACTAGTAGTACACATATAAGATATTTTTGTCTCAATTTTATTCATCTTTTTACAAGTCTACCTGACTACTAGTATGTTGCCATGGAAACCAGACACTGAATTGGAGAAAATCTTTTTTCGGTAGTTTCTTAGCATACTTTACCAACATGCAAAGTTTGGAAGAAAAACAACCTTAAACCCTTCATATGTAAGCCCCTACATGATTCTTAGTTGGAGTTGTACTTAAAAACTACGAATGCACTTTTTATATAGCATATTAAAAAATCTTAAATAATCTTTTATTTAATTTATCTTCAATAAAAATATCTACATGTACTTTGATCAAGAAATTACTAATCATAACCATGCAGTTAGATTGCTTAATACCCAGGAGCACATAAGTTTATCAAAGAATTACTTATGCATTTTCACTATAGGACCAATAGAGTCCCATCCTAACACCAGAACCCCTAACCAAGGGGCTATGACATGCTCAGATCTAGAGGGGGGGGGACCCCCCCCCCCTGGAATTTGCAGAGTTATTGAAAGTATAAACTGAAGCAAATTAAAAATGACTTTGGAACCCCCCCTCCCCGAAAACGTGGACCCTACCACCATCACGAAAAAGGATTTTTCACGCCGGGAAAGGGATTTTACGTTGTTTTTTGTTTTTTTTTTTTTTGGTTTTGTTTTGTTTTGCCATGTTTTTTTTTTTTGTTTTTGTTTTTGTTTTTGTTTTTTTTTTTTATTTTATTTTTGCTGTTGTTGTTGTTGTTTCGTTTTTTTGTTTTTTTTTTATTTGCTTGTCAAGAAAATTTCTGAGTTTGATACTTTCAGGAAAGGAGTTTAGTTTTTTTTCTTTTTGCTTGACAATATATTTCTAGGAGAATTTTTTTTAACTGGGGTGGAACCCCCCTCCCCCCCCCCCCCTTTTGGAAAAATTTCCTGGATCCGCGCCGGTATGACTTTCAAAATTTTGGGAGAGGCACCCTCTTAAGTCATATCTATGTAATTACTTTGTCTGCAAAATTTATAAGTGGATATGAATTTATGCATTTTCACTATATGATCAAGAGAGCCCCATCATAACTCCAGAATCCTGGGGCAATGAATTTCATAAAATTGGTTGAAGGCTCAAAGCTTTTTTACAATCATGCCAACAGCTTGACTGCTTGATGTTCATGAGTAGAGAATAGAGATGAAGATTTTTTAAAACTCATATAAATTTTGAAGGTTTTAGCCCCACCCCTCAATGCCCAAAAGGAGGGGGCTAATGAAATTCATTTTACCCCCTTTCCCCATAGATGCTATATGCCAAAACAGATTGATATCGTTTCAATAGCTCCAGAGAAAAGTCTGAAAATATTCATTTGTTAATGCAGAATGAACGATGACAGACAAAAATCACCTGAGTGACTCAGGTGACCTAAGAAATTCCTCCACTGTACATGGATATGCTTATATTAACGTTACTAACAGTTTCCATATACTTTTTCAAAGAACCAATCCTTATTAGTCCATTTACATCCTTGTTTCTACTTTATAGGCCATGATTTAAATAAATTCGACTTATATCAAAATTATTTTAAAATTTGAGAAATTAGAGCCACCATGCTGTTCTTGAAGGAAAAAAAAATTTAAATATTTTTTACCATAATACCTCCTTCCAAAAGAAGACAATTAAAACAAAAAGATAGATTATAAGAGAGCTCACATTGACAAATGCCATCTACAATTTAAGGCAAAGGCTCTCAGTAAACAAATGTTCAAGTAGTGTACTGCATCTAGTTGCAAAACATATGCAAGTTTTTTAGTTTACTAGAAATTTAATGAACCTGTTCCCAAAATTAACTGTAAAATCACCTGAAAAGTGTTAGTCAGACCCAGCATTCAAAGCATATTTATTATTTATTAGCATGCATCCCTAAATGCATCATCAGTGCAAGTTTAATCATTATTACCGCTTACAGCAACTAAGGAATGGGCCCTCTCTAACATCTTTAACTTGTTCAATTACATAGGAAATTTAAATCACTGCCAGTCTCCACAGCTGCATAAATAAAAATTTACACATTTCAGCATATATCTTATGGGACA